TTTAAATCCCAAATAAAATCTCACCTTCTACAGAAAGCCTTCTTAACTGAAGTGTCTGTTAATTATTTCTTATTTATCCTGTACATAGCTTGCTTTGTATATATTTGTTGCGTGTTGTCTTTCCCCATTAGACTGTAAGCTCCTTGAGGTTGGGGACTGTCTTTTACCTCTTTTTATATCTGTACATAAGAGGCACTTAATAAATGTTTATTAATTGATTGATTGACCAGCTGCTGTGGTTACTGAAATAGGGAATTAATTATGGAGAAGTAGAAGGATTTTCTTGCATGAGTGATGGTCCAGTTGAGATCAATAACAAATTTTTGTAATGGACTCATTCAGCACTGTTATGTTTTTTCTAGCTCCATTCAATAATACATGATTAGGAGCAACAGAGGATAGGAGTAATCCAGAGTAGGGGTTTGGCAACCATGATCAGTGATAGGGCAAGAGACTAAGGTACTTAAGAGTAGAAGATAGTGCCTATCTGAACTGGTTTGCCAAGGGGTCAAGATTCAGAAGGGAGAGAGCATATCCTAACCAAGGGTGATGACCTGGGAAAATGCTGAGGGACTAGAAGGACTAGAAGTCTCTCGACAAGGATGAAGGATAGAGTTAGAGGTAGTAAGGCATGGGGAAGGATGGAATGATAAAAGATTATGGGCAGATAAAGGAATTTCAGAGTTCTTGAAACTGGAAATGGAATACTTATGGGTGATGGCAAGATTGAGGGTAATGACCATCCCTACATTTGGGCAGCTAGGTGGCACCACAGTATATAGAGCACCAGGCCCGGAGTCAGTAAGACTCATCTTCCTGAGTTCAAATTCAGCCTCAGACACTTACTAGCTGTATGACCCTGGGCAAGTCACTCAACCCTATTTGCCTTAGTATCTTCATCTGTAAAATGAGCTGGAGAAGGAAATGGCAAACCACTCTAGTACCTTTGCCAAGAAAACCCTAAATGGGATCGGGAAGAGTTGGATACGACTAAGCTGAATAGCAACAGAGCAGAAGAGTCAATCATGGGATTTGGATAGATTGAAGAACTGAGCAGTTGGGATATTTGTGGCAGCATCAACATCTATACTGAAGACTCCCTAGTATGAGAGCAAGAATCAGGATGAAGAGCGAGACAGTCCTCAAACTTATCGGAAAAAGGAGAGAGAATGTTTTAAGGGTCAGTAGATAATGGCCACCGAGATCTGGATTGGGTGATAAATTTGAATGCTGAACTTCAAAGGAAGAGAGACTAATGACTAGTGAAGGTGGAGGGTGAGAGGGGGAATCTGAAAGTGGCTCCCTAAGGGAGCAAAGAATATTATGACTTCCCCACTAGGCCCAGTGAGTTGGAATGTGTTGGAGAAAATGCAACCAGCACAGGAAAGGATGACCAGGCATGTAGTGTCATCTTGAGGAAGTTTCTCATGTAAAAATGCAAAGTAAAAATAAATACATAAATAAATGAAACAGAAGTAGAAGAACAGGCTCCGCACTAATTATGAAAACACAAAAGAAAGAAGGAATAGCTAAAGAATAATGAGACTAAGAGGGGCTGGAAAGGCGCCTTGCTACATTAGGCACTGATATTAATTTTGAAGTAAATTTTTATTAAATTTAGCTGATTGTATTATTGGTCAGTGTTAAGCTTTAAATAAAACATTTAATTAAAAAAAAACAGGTACTTTATCATTTTAATGTTAGTGTACTGGGAGAAGTCCACGTCATTTCATCCCATAAAACTGTACATGGTGATATATAATATTTTGGTTCAGGACCACTTAAACTAGGGAGACATTTCTGTGGCCTTAGAGAAATTTGTTGAGTCTGCAGGAGCCAGCAACTAGATCAGCAACTTGGAGAAGGTTGCTGCTGCAGCAAGAATTTACCCAAAAGGCAATACTACCTTTGGGTGGCAGCCAAGGCTTATATATGAGGCCAGGGTCCAAGGGCAAGCCAGTTGCTCTCCAAAGACTTAGGCAGCTACGTTGACTCCTTCAGGCCTCGGATGTGTCTCACTGGCTATTGAGTGACCCACCAAATGTTATAGGGTTGTAAATGAAATGAGAGACACACAGCCTGAAGCAGTAAAAGTGCTTTTTAAAGAACCAGCTGACAGAGCCTGTCTTCCACCTTTTCTCTGACTGCTACCCTGCTGATGCTGCTGACACTTCTATCCCTAAGCCCTTCACCCCTTCCTCTTCTTCCTCATCTTCCAGACTCAAGGGACAAAGAGGTGGCCCTGACACTTGGCTCTAAGAAGACCTGAGGCCCTCACATACGTATGGTCAGTTATAAATTCTACCCCTCCTGACATGCTCATGCTCTATCACCAGGGCATAGAAGTGAAATGGTCCCTTTCTACCTCTTCTCTGCCCTTCCTCATTCCAGCCTGATTCCTTTTAACTGCCCTTTTGTGATTTCTTCTACCCTTCAACTTTGCCCTTAATATCCAGTCTAACCTGATTTTACTTTTTAAATTAAATTTATTTTTTTCAGTGAACAAAAATCTATTTCCTCTTCTTTTCATGTCCCTTACTTATTGGAAAAAGGAAGAGATAACCCTTGTGTAACAACCCACATAGTTAAACAAAACAAATTTCCACATTGATGATGTCCAAATATGTGTGTTTCCTACTTCATACTGAGGCCATTGCCTTTTCTTTAGTCTGATTTAACATAGGTGAACACACCATGATGGTGTGATATGCCTGGCCTCTGCACTTGTCTAAGGATAGGCCTAAGTCTGCCCTTCTTGCCTCATAAGTTGCTCATTATCACCCTTCCTCCTCGATTCATCATTGCTGTACAATGGAAACAGAACTGAATCAGGATTCAGAGGGTTTGGGTTCAAATCCCAGATTTGCTGCTTTTACCTTCGTGACTTTGAACAAATATACACTCTCTGACCTCAGTTTCCTCATGTGTAAAATGGGGGTTTTGATTAAAGGGCTTCTGAGGTTCTTTGTAGCTCTAAATCCTGTGAACATTCTAAACACAGTTGTACTTAGCCTTCTCAGAGATCTACAGTCCACTCCCTAAACGCCCCACCAGGATTCCTCTTAGTCTCATACCAATTCTAGCCAGTATTTGACAGTCTCTCCCCTCTGTAACACATCCTGTCTTCCCTACCTCTCTTTTCCAGATGTGAGGTGGCAAACAGAGAAACTTACATGTATGCCATTTTAGGGAAACAACCTCTGAGCAATGAAGTAATTCAATTGGAGTTAAGTCAATGTTACAAATCTTACTTTTTACTTCATCTACACAAAGACATAATATTGAAAAGGAGTTCTAGGATATCAAAGGATATATTTATTCATTCTTATATTTGTCTACAGAGATTTTTTTCCCCCAAAATTATATGGAGTCAGGAAGAACTGAGTTCAAATCCTACCTTAGTTGTGTGACCCTAGGCAAGTCACTTAACCTCTATTTGCCTGAGTTTCTTCATATTTAAAATAGGGATAATAATATCTTCCAGGGTTGTTATGAGGATCAAGTGAGACAGTATTTGTAAAGTAATTTGTAAACCTTAAAGTGCTACATAAATGCTAGTTATTATTATTATTATATTGAGCTGGTCTATACAGCCTAAAGCTACTATACTTTCCCAGCTACTGATTGGTTAGGAGCTGGGTAGACGGCATTCTGCTTAGTGAATGTTACAATGTTAGCACTATAAGCAAGGAAAGTTTAGCTGCTATATCTTCATTTACTAGTCAGGCCTTAAATATCTGAAAATCATTCACAAATGTCAACTCTTAAGGCCTAAATGCCTGGCAAATGCCAGCTCAGAGCCTAGCCCTGCTATTTATTGTCTATACTCTGTCATCTTCCCATGATAAAGGCCACCTTAGCCCATCTCGCTCTTTCCAAAGCTAGCCCCAGATTTCAGTTTCAGAGCATATAAAATAGATGGTGGTCAAGATCTGGGCTGCCCATGTTAAACACGCCAAGTCTGTCTTTACTTCCAAGAACATGCATATGGTTTCCAGTCAGAGGACCTAGATCTGAATCCTGATTCTGCTACTTATTAGCGATGTGACCCTAGGCAAGTACCTTAACCTCTCTGGGCATCAGTTTCCTTATTTGTAAAATGATAGAGTTTTTCCTCAACAATGTCTAAGGTTCCTCCCAGTTCTAATTTTATGCCACGGTGACATTTCTGTGAATTTGCAGGGAGTGAGGAGGCAAGATGTTATCACGGGCGTCTCTCCACATCTATGGATGAAGATTTTCTGAGATGCCACCCATATATTAATGAAGGTGATGTGGAGTAGTTGGAAGAGTGTTATATTTAGAGTCCTAATTGTGCGACTTTGTGCAATTTCATGTGACTCTTCATTTCTCTAGGCCTCAGTTTCTTTCTTTTTAAAATGAAGAATTTGGATCAGATGATCTTTAAGATTTCTTCCAGCTCTAAATCTTTGGATCTTAGATGAAACACAGTCATGGGACCATAGATTGAGAGTCAAAAGTGGCCTTAGAAGTCATCAAGTCCAATGCCCTCATTTTACAAATGAGGAAACTGAAACAGAGAGGTTGACCAACATCCCCAGGATCACCCAGCTGGTAAGTGATTGAGGATGAATTTGAATACATCTTCCTGACTCCCAAGTCCAGTGCCCTATCTACGAAACCAGCTGCCTCTCCAAACCTGCTCCTTTGATCCTCCTTCATTCCTCTCCCCCCTCCCAATTCAAAGGAGGAAAGGCTGTCTCTGACAACTGGAATGGAAAGGCTGTCTCCTACCCCCTGGGCAGGCCACTGGTAGCTTCCCAGTTAGCAAGAAATAAAACAGCCCTCTCTGAAACTCTCCTCCTGTGGAGTCCAGATTTTAACCTTTTTCAGTCTTCCAGGCTGTGGGAAATAAAACTTCAAAGAGGGGTAGGTCCTTCCATCATGCAGGAGCCTTTCCTTGCCAACTCTGACTGAGAAATGATAAGCATTTCACTGAACTCCCTCTGAGCAAGGAAGCCCAGTGGTCCACCACTCACCCTCTGAGGCCTGAATGACCAGGAGTACAGCGGCAGCCAGGACATATGCTCCAGTTGGCCTCATTCCTCTCCCCTCCAGCCGCCTGCGGGGAGCTGCCTTTCAGGAAGCAATAAGCTTCAGGTATGCCTGAGTCCAGAGGGTGGATGGTGAGATAAGTGAGCCCAGCCCCACCCCGGGAGGTGCTGGTGTCATTCATTTCTCATATTTCTTTTCCTGGGGGTGGTTGTGTTGGACCACACTCACGCACACAAACACACACACACACACACACACACACACACACACAACCACACACACACACACACACACACAAAACTGAGATGCCAGACTGGGTAGATAAATAAAGGTTGACTCCTTCTGGTTACCTACTGAGGGACTTGGATAAGGAGCCTAAATAGCATTAAAGGAGGCAGAGGACATGAGTTCACAGCTGGCTCTGGTACTTTCTAACCATGTGACCCTGGGCAAATCACTTTAACCTCCTCTCTGGCAATTAGTTCAATATAACAAGTCTTATTTTTTGCTTCACTCGCACATAGACATAATTATGAAAATGAGTTCTAAAATATATGAACTGATTTTTTTTTCATTCTTACATTTTTCAGCAACTTATATGAAACAGATAGTCTTCCTTTTAAAAAAATCCCATTTGGCTTGAGTTGGTCCATGAAGTCTAAAGCCACTGTACTTTTCTACCTACCATTTTCTTTGGTGCTCATTTGTAAAATGGGCTCTAAATCAATGATCTCATGATCATGAAAAGACAATGGCTGTCTCAATTTAACAAACATTAATTGAGTGCCTACTGTGTGTATTACACCGTACTAGACACTAGAGGAGTTAAGAAGTTTAGATAAGACCCTCTCTTCACTCTTACATAGTCTAGTTAGGGGAATAAAAATACATTCCCAGAGAACTAGAATACATAAGTATATTAGAGAGTAGTTGAAGACAGCATTATGTCGCAAAGACTGTTAGTGGTAGGGAACTGGGGAAGTCTATCTGTGGCTAGTCTTTAGTGATAAAAAGTCATTAATTACTTAAAGATAAAACATATGTTTGTAGTAAAGCTTTTCTTATTCTTCTCATTTATTGTCAAAGAGAGATGTTATTCTCAAGACAATGGCTAAAAGATGAAATAGTAAAAGAATAGAAAGATCACCTCTGGCTCCATTAACATTTTGTCATTTCACTGAAGTCTAACGTTGCCTACTTTTTTCTTTAGTCTAGACATGTGATTTGGTTAGTGTAGGGACCACCTAGAATGAAAACTTCTTCCACCACTACAGATCAATATCTCCTCTATGATTTGTAGTCTTGTGGAATTTCTTAGGGCACAGAGAGGTTAAGTATCTTGTCTTCAGTCACAGAGCTGTGACGTGTCAGAGACAGGACTTGACGTCCTTTATTCCTGACTTCAAGGCTAGTGCTCTATTTACTGTGCAACATTGCCTCTGAGGTTTACCTAACGCTGAAGTTTTTTCAGTTGTTCACTATCCCCTTTCACTTATCTTAAACTCCTATCTGTTTCCATGTAAGTACTTGCAAGATTTTAAAAAAATCCTTGGAAAAGCTATTTCAGAGTCAGTAAAGAAGATAGAAACTTGTAATCAAAGGGATATGGATGGAGAAGATCTAGGTAGAAGAAAGATAGAATAACAGAAGAGATAGTAAGAATCTTTATCTGCCTTCAAGGCTCAATTCTGATATCGCTACCTCTCCCATGAAGCCTTCCCACATTCCCCCACCTCCCATGGAGAGTGTGCTCCACTTCCTGAAATTACCTTGTATTTGCTCATCTCTGTGCATGTTGTAACCCCCACCCCATTCCTAGTAGAATTCAAATTCTTTGAAGTCAGGGATTGCTCCCATTTTTTGTCTTTGTATCCCTAGCATCTGGACCAGGGCCTTGTGTGTGTGTATATATGTGTATGTGTGTATATATGTGTATGTGTTTATACATATGTATATATACATACATACATATATGTGCAACATTGTCAAATTTAAAGGTCAAGAGATTGTATCTAAGTCATACAAGTTCTTCTTATGTCTTTATGAGACAATTGTCACCTCTTTATTGGAGAAATAGTTTTTGCAGTTTGTTTCATTAATTTCATCCACAGTTCATTGGGTAGTATAGGGGTCTTTGTTGTTGCATACACACACACACACACACACACACACACACCCCTGCTCTGTGGTTCTTTCCCTCTTTCCTTATGAATATTCATGGTTCCAGAGGGCACTTTAGCAGCTGTGTATTAAATCATTTCTGAGGGAATTCTTTAAAGAGAAAGTTAACCTGTTGTGTAATTACATATCTCTTAGTGCATATCAAAAACTAGCTAACTTTATATAACTATAAATTGACTTTAACCATATTTTCCTCTAGTTCTTTTCAAGGTGTTTTGGAAATCTTAGACGTCTGTCTACTGAAGCAGCTCCTTCTCAAAAGGATTATTTAAAAAATGAGTTAGAAACACATTCATTGCACCCTTTACTTTTTTAAACTAAAGAGGTATTTCTGGTTATAGTAAAATAAATTTTTTTTCTTTTCTGTTTCATGTTTTGATTGATTATGATTTAATTAAAACTGCTATTTTTATTGTTGTTCAGCCATTTCAGTTGTGTCCATCTCTTCATGACCCCTTTGGGGTTTTCTTGGCAAAGGTACTGGAGTGGTTTGATTTTTTTGACCTAGATATTTATTGTAAAGTAAAATAACTTTTTAGCACAAGGTTAAATATTTAAGGAATGAGTTTCCTTTTAAAGATTTTAAAGAAATTCTTGTCAGCAAAATGATAGACATTAGTTAAACTCAGGGCCACCCAGTACTCTGACCTTGGGGGAAAGCTTTTGGGGCCAACAGGAGATAAGTCTTCAGAAAAATCACATTTCCCCAAGAGAAAGAACCACTGACTAGCAGAAAATAACCCTTGTATTTCTAACAGCCAGAACCATCTAGAAATCAGTGATATTCAAGAGTACTAGAAATAGGCCTTCTCTTGTAGAAACACAATCACTCAGGTGACTCATCAAATTTGACTCCAAATTATTTCCAAAAAAACAAATCTTTGCTCAATGGCTAAAGACTCACAACCATTGAAGATGTTCAAGAGAAGATAGACATGACTCTTTTTTTTTTCATTTTTAGGCACTGGGGTTAAGTGACTTGCCCAAGGTCACACAGCTAGGAAGTGTCAAGTGTTTGGTCTGAGTCCGGATTTGAACTGAGGTCCTCCTGACTTCAGGGCCGGTGCTCTATTCACTGCGCCACCTAGCTGCCCATAGACATGACTCTTGAAGACAGCTCCCGAAGAGAAAGTTCTCAAAATGTTTTGACCAAGGGCATCATCTCTGGCATGTTTGTGGCCTTCTGAGGTAGTTACTTTGAAGGGGACAACACTCATTTAGATATAGAAGTTTTGGTATGTTTATGAGAGAGGAACAGCCTGGCTTAGTGAATAGAGATCTGGCTTCAATGCCATGCAGGTCTGGGTATAAGCCCTCCCTCTGATATGGACTATCTGTATGAACCTGGGCAAATCACTTCACATCTTGGTGGGAGTTTCCTATATTAACAAAATAACAGGTCCAATTTATCAGAAAACTAGTCTTTGTCCTTGCTTTCCTGGAAAGGGTAACTGGATCTTGAGGGAAAGAAACACAGGAGAAATTTTTGCTGGGTGCAGAAGAAGGGAAGAACAACCTGAATCACTCTGTGCTTTCCCAGAATATTCTGTAGACAGGGCTTCTTCACCCAGATGAAAAGAAGAGGAGTCACTACAGAGCTAGTCTGGAGGCAGCAAAACTAATTAATTTCATTTCTCCTCTGAAGGTTATGAACACACATCGGACAAATACTAATAATAGCTCCCACTTTATAAAGTATTACAAAGCCCCTTCCTCATACTAACCCTGTAAGCTAGGTAGCCCATGGAATATTGTTCCTCTTTTCCTAAGCTTCACAGAAGTTTGCTCTTACCGAATAAAACAGTAACAGTGAATATAAGAGCAACGACTTAAACTCAGGTCTTATTACTCCAAATTTGATGCTCTTTCAAGTGTAGTCAAGGCTTTACAAGGAGTGAGAATCAGAAGAATTGTCATCAGTATTGAGAAGGGGTCAGTGTGAGGCTTAAACCCTCTGGGAGGCTTCGTGTGAAAGGTAATTCTCAATGGCTCAGAACCTAGGACTAGATCTTTCCCGTATGCCCCCTTACACCTCTTTGCTGCAAAATTTTCTTTATCATTGTGAATTTTTTTCTCTTAGGAAAACTAACCATGTTATTTATGCCAGGCATATTTATCTCATAATTAGGAATGTCAGAAGCCACTGATGGCAAGGGCCATCCTCTAGTTGCTCCCTATCCATTTGAATTTATCCCTTCATTTACAGTACCCAGCCAGAAGGACATTGACATTGGTAGCATCTATTTGTTTTTTTTCACATGTATTTATTTTATTTTAATTTATGGAATAAAACAAGTATTTCCATAACATAGCATAATAAAAAGATGACTGCACATGAAACTGCAAATGTGTTATATACAACTTGCTATTCCTTTTATACCTATGATAGTTATCATGTAAATTTCTTTTTTTCCCTTTTTTTCTTCCCTTCCCCACCCTCTGCCCTAGAGATGGCTACCATTAGATACAAATAGGCATATATATGTAAAATTATTCTATGAATACTTCTACTTATCAGTTTTTTCTCTTGATGCAGATAGTGTCTTTCATCATATTTCCTTTATAGTTCATTTGGATATTTATTGGGGAATGGCTGAACAATTTGTGGTATATGATTGTGATGGATTACTACTACGCTATAAGAAGTGAAGAGCTCTATGACCTTAGGAAAACATGAAAAAAGTTATACAAAATAATGAAAAACAAAATAGTGGCATCTATTTGATGGTAATGCCTGGAAGGCAAGAGTTCGCTCTGCAGGTAAAGCTAAAATTCTCTTCCCTATCAGCCTAAGATAATATCTAGAATGGCCACTATTAGAGTTGTTCCTTTGGGTTTTAAGGCTTTGTGTCTCTAGGAGGTCCTGGTCAAAATGTCCATTAGAATTTACTAATTCAAAATTGTCAGATTAGCT